GCTGCCTCAGTGGAGACTTCATAAATGATTGACTCGGGGTTGAGGGCTTGGGATAGTCTGCGTAGGTGCTTGGCGGCACCTCAAAGGAAAATGTGAGATAGGAGTGTTGTTATGGGCCATTGATGGAGCACAGGCATGCTGTATAAAGGGTATGAGACAAAATTTTGACTTTAAACTCCACCCAGGTCAGCCATCATGTTGATGTTTCGCTGATGATACAACTGACGACTAAAAGGAACTGAAGACTGACTGGATTTTACATTTAAATCCAAAACTCATTACTCAGAAATGCAGAAAATCTAATTCTGGTTCTTCTGCTGTGTTTAACAAATGACATATCAGATTTTATAACATTTATAATAGTATGTCGTGTTTTCATAGTCACATCTGTGAACCAATGACAGAAAGACCTACACTTACATATTATATTATTAGACTCACTGGTTACTTCATTGTACTGTCCAGTGGGTGCAGGTACAGGGCCCTGAGGTGTAGAGGAGCTTACTTTGGCAAAACTTGGTACCTGCAGCCATAGCAACCGTTAACAAGGTGACCTGTTGATGGAACTACACGTCTTGCTTTCATGCTGTTCTGCCTGTCACACTGCTGTGAGAAAAAATCCCCCCATGGATTATAGTCTTACTAACTAACTAAGCACAAAGCTCTAGATGTTTATATTATATCTTTATCAGTATTACCCATCAGCATCTAACAATAGTTTTCTAATTAATTATTTAACATGACCAGAGGGCAGTACTACGAAGCCACATTAATGGGTTACCGAGGTATGTTGAGTTTAAGGTCAGAGTTTTCAGTGTCATTCCAGTGGCTCTCTTTTACCCTGCTAGCTCGCTGTGTTAACTATTGCTGCACAGCCGACCTGCTCTTCGGCTTTAACAAACACCATCCCTTCGCCATAAGGGGCGACTGTGGCTCAGGTGGTAGAGCGAGTCAGTCAATGATCGGAAGGTCGGTGGTTTGATTCCGCCCTGTAGCCTGTGTCATGGTCGTTGTGTCCTTGGGCAAGACACTTCTTCACACTGGTGTGAATGGATTGTTTGAGGTGGTGGTCAGAGGGGTCGCAGCCACGCCTCTGTCAGCCTGCTGTGGCTACAATCGTAGCTACCACCACCAGAATGAATGTGTGTGAATGAATAATTTTAGTGTTAAGTGTCTTTGAGTGCCTAGAAAAGTGCTATATACATCTGATAAATTATTATTATTCTTAAAAGCAGCTTTATACCAGCATTCCTCTCTTGTATCACATGCAGCAGCAGCAGCACGTTTGACCTTTCATGTTTCTTATAGCTCTTCATTATGACAGCGTGTTGACTGAAGTAGGCAGCACACAATCAGTCCATTTTGTGCAGAAGAGGAGACAACTGGCGCCTCAAATGTCCCCTTTAATGGGGAGTGTGCACAGAGCCTGATGAACAAACCTTAACAAAGAAGGCTGGTACCCCTGTGACAGCCATTATCTCTACTATAAAACGCCCCACTGGTTACAATAGTGTGTGCAACAGGTGTGATGGTGCTGACCAAAACTCAACAAAAAAAGACAAACAAACAGCGCTCCAGCACACACAACTTTGACAACCTATGGCCACATTAAAGATTGAAAACAGTCAAGACCTTCACAACATTTTTTGAGGGAATTAAAAACTTCTTACAGCTTTTAAAGACTGCAGGTATCTTACCTATTGATCCTTAATGAAATTACTGTTCTTTGTTGTTGTTGTTGTTTTTTTGTGTGTGTGTTCCCATATGACTAAACATTTTGTCTTGTCATTCAGATGATATGTTGGAGACTAAATCTGGAACTGCTACCCCTCTGCGCTCTGGGTCTGTGGGCAACTACCGCACCACTATTAAGAACGATGTAGACGGGGCAGACGTCCCAGCTACATCTAGCACTGTGCACCCCACCAAGGCTGCAGAAGGCTCCTTAGCTTCATCGTTGACCTCATCCATCGACTCGACGGGAGGGGCGGACAACGCTACCGTCCCTCGACCAGGAAGCCACACCATCGAGTTCTTTGAGATGTGCGCAAACCTTATTAAACTACTTGCACGATAGCTTGCAAAACAATCGCTAGCCTTTTTTCCTCTCCGAGTGTCTTTATAGCAATAAGCATGCAACCGATTCATGGCTCAGTTCATCCTGGCTGAGGATGAAGTGATTGTTCCATGGCACTGATGCAGGTTGGTGTTCCCTGAAGCTGAAGGGAGGCACACTGAGCTGACTAGGGATGTAAGGGGTTACGAGGAATGACGAGCTACTTCGCTAGCTAAGAGAGAACAACATTTAAGAGGGGGTTTTACAATTTTCTGATCAATTTAATAGCAAATGTCCCACATCCCATCTATACATATATGCGCAAGTGATTACACTGAATTTTCTGTACTGTAGCCAGTGAGCACTGCTTCCCAGTACAGAGAACGAGATCACGATTTCGCCTGCAGAGAAGGATGCCACGCGGTGAGGTTGGAAATTTGGGTGGCGGTTATAGGATGCAGGAAGCACTTTTGCACAAGTTTCTTTTATTTCCTGCTGCTCTTTTTTTTTTTGTCTCAGTGGGGATCAGAGAAGTGGTGCAGACGTATCGGGGCGCTGCACTGGCTATAACTAGGGCGGCCTTGCCCGTCACATTCATTGGACTCTGAGGAAGTGCAGTGACCCCTGTACTTCTGTCTTGTGTCAGGGACAAAGGATTGCTTCATCACATTTATGTTAGGTTTTCTTTTTTTTTTTTTTTTTTTTGTGAATTTGACTAAGGCTAAATTTTCATGGTTTTGTCCTTGTTGTAAAAAAAATTGTTTGAATTTGTCTGTCCCCCACATTTTTATATATAAAGACATGAATATATTTATCAGTGCGTTAAGTGGATGGAGTGTTGGTTCTAATGGAAAATGATTTTTTTTTCCTTTCTTGCATTAAGATCTATTGCTGGATGGTATATATTTTCATTTTTTACTGTTTTTAAAATCAATATCACCATTTTGTTTCCTTCAATCACAACTATTCTGATACTTGATTGTCTTTCCAGATAACTATAGCCTGCTTTTACCATGTAAGAGATACTTTGCCATGACAGTCAAAATCTAGAAATATATCATTTTCAGTGTCACATATTAAAATGACAAATTGATTTTGACTTCTTTTTTGTTATATTTTCTCTATTTCTTTCTTTGTTTTTTTAGATTAATGAATAGGATTTAAGTATAATTTCTGAGTGAAATGCCTTTTGCCTACATTCATTTCGTAAATGCCAATCCATCACATGTGTATCGGCCTCAGGGCTCAATTTGACGACGAGTGGTAGCAATTACATGCAGTGCATGGACAGTGTTGGCAGGCGAATACATCCAAAATCTTATCATTTTTGGACATGCTTATGTTTTGATTTTCCACACATTCCTTGGTTGACGTTAAACAAAGGTTTCACGTGTTTAAACCTGAAACAGACTTGTGAGCTTGGAATTCTAAAGCCCTGTCGGTAGGTCACAATTCTGATGACAGAAGAACACACAAGCGTGACGATGCTGGATGTGTGGCAAATTTATATTTGATAACAAAACGTCAGACAGAACATTAAACTCCAAGCTCACCAAGTCTTAGCTATGTCTTTAATTCTAGGTATGATGTGTCTCACTCCATTTCCTGTCCACAGTCTTAAAGTTTTAAGTGGTGTCTGTTTGGCTGCCTTATTATCAGTACTGTTTATCAGTTTTCATGTCGGTAAAAGTTGCAAATCAGTGCTGGTCAGAATTATTGGCACTTTTTGCGGTTTTAATGGTTAGAATACAGCAGTGACGGTGTCGGTGTTGATTCACGTTTACTGTTAATTAAGAAAATGACTATTCTCAGCGTTTGGCATTACAGAAAAAAAAACATCTTAACTGCAAAACTTAAACATCTTATGTTGTTGCTGAACTATTGTAGAAATCAGTAACTGCTACCATTGAGTTTTCCTATTGAAGTTATCTTTAAGGATTTCAAAAGGAAAAAGCAAACTTCTAAGGAAAATGTGTTTGTCATTTTGTCATCGTCAGTCCATTAAATCAGGATTTAAAGAAATTTGCGTGTTCTCGTTGTAAAATCAGAAAGGTGTGTTTTGTTTTGTTTTTTATTATAAAGTGTCAGCAGTGGCTGAAGTCTGGATTTCCAGTGTTTAACTCTTCACAGCTTTAAAATCTGAAATATGTCATTTGTATAAACAGTTTACATTTCAAAGATATAATTCAGCAAAAATTGCTATAAGTGACAATAATTGTGATCATCTTGTTTCTCTTGCTCTCCTGCTGGGGCAGGCTTGGACTGAAATATTAAGTTGATATTTGACCTCTATGTCTCAGTTTTAAACTAGAGTTATGGTGATCATGGTAAGGACACACATACTATGGTCTTGGAAAGATTTTGTCAAACTAAACATTCATAGTCTTAAAGGGCAGTTGCAAGTTCTGTTTACAAAAAGCGTCATGGCTCACATGATGGGTTTTGTTGGAAAGATGAATGTGTGCAAAGAGGGTGAACTTTTTGCCTGCGTGTGGAGTCATGTCCTAGCGGACTGTTCAACTCAGTATCTGAACTGCTTCAAAGAAATATTGTTCTATTTTTGTTTGGTTTGTAAGGGGACCCTACCAGATTGACCAGTGTAAATCTGAATGGACAGTGTTGAATCATTTGTATACACAATTGCCTAATAAACTGCTAAATTGCACACAGTTCTACTGAAGTTTGTCTTTATGTTTCACATATTTATTCTCTGTTTGACGAACTCTGATTTGCCCGAAATCTTGTTGACATAAAATATGGATATTTCTAAAGACATTTGTGAAATTTTAGATTGATGTGTTAGAAACATTCCAAGATAGTGTTTTTTAGTTTGTGTGTTTGCTTGTCAACTGCTTTCAGCACATTTTCTAGTACATTGACATTTAAGGCTTTTTATGCACGACAACACCTCAGGAACTGTTGAAGAAAAAAACCTGAAATTCACTTTTTCTCATCGTGTCATTCAGAATGTGGACAAGTAGATCAGTTAGTCTCTGATTACAGGTGGATTGAAATATGAAAAAAAAAAAAGACAAGTCCCATCTTGGACCATATGTGAAGAAACAATTGAATGACTTAAGTTGATAAGTGATTTTATTACATTTACATTAAAACCCCATTACAGCACACAAAAGAATCACCATGAGCAGATAACATAATTAAATCAGACTACACAATAACTTTTGACACAGTAAATGAAACAGCAGTGTGAGTGGCTGAGATATTACTGAATCAGCAAGTTCTCCAGCACCTCAAGGCAGAAATTAAACAAGTAGAGCGACATAATGAAAATAGATGCATTGGGAAATATCTTCAGATCAGATTTTGACCTGAGTCGCTTTGGTCTTAAAGGATTTTTCTCTTATTTTCCTCAACCCTTGCTGTGATTAAGAATAGTTTTATGCTTTGTTAGACACACAGCGTTTGTCAACATCTTTACCATCGGCACAGCTGATGCACTTTTCAACCTTAAACCTAGTTGTGAAACATCGAAATATGTTTTCATGACCAATAGCCTCACCAAGATTTTCAAGGGCAGCTTTTAATTTTTCTTGTTCATGTTTTTCTTCTTCTTTTGGTAAAAATACTTGTTCAAATACAAGTGCCGTTTCCTTCCAATGCCCTTCCTTAATTACTTTCTCAATCAAGTCAATGATATTGTAACGATGATCTGGTTCTGCACACTTTTCACCACATGGAGAGGCGTAAGAGTAGATGACCAACAAATCACCTTCATTGCTTTCAAGTTTTAAATCTTTCAGAACACGCCACTCTGAATGTTCAGTATATGGTTTTCCATTGTTACTTTCCATTTCTTTTTTTGTAGCTATCACTAGTCTGTTGTTTCCAAACCTTACACCATTTTTAATATCCTCTCCTTCTTTTTTGTTGGGTTCCGTCACCTTGTCCAGCATCAAGTTGCCAGACTCGTCTTGTGGAACGCTTATGGCTGCACTGCGCATCTCTGTTATGTCAAACCTGTCAAAAAAACAAACACATTCAAATGTTGGGCAGGGCGACTTCCTGACAGCTGATTAAGATGCTTAAGATGCATGACACACAATCAGAATGTCGCTGGTTCCACGTCATACCAGATATCTCTCTTTTGTTTGTTGTCTGCCTCGGTACTGTATAATGCAATAAACTTGAATATGCAAAAGAAACAATGAGCAGAAAATAAGAACTCTGTCTCATTTTGCTGGCAGAACATGTACAGTATGCAACAGCAGTGACTACACTCCTTTGTAATGTTATCGAAATGACACAAGATTCAAAATGGTGTCACCTCCAACAGTAGTTGAAGGGGAGGATGTTTCCTCCCATGGACAATCAAAACAAATGCTTGATATTGAAAAGACGAGAAAACTCAATGCAGCAACAGCAAATACACCTGTGTTCACGGACACACAAACTAGAAAGCGTGTCTTTACTGAAGCAAAAACTGATTACGTCTGTGAGTTCCAATTAGTCTAACTACATGAATGTGGTTATAAAATGAGCTGTGTCTGTCTCTATGTCTGCATCATGGCTTTACATGAAGAAAAAACATACTGGAAGAACTGAAACATCTGATTGTGAGATGTCACAAAGATGGAAAACGATACAGGAAGATCAACTAAAAACAACAGTCAAAACACAGTTGCAGGAAGTTATCAGGAGGTAGAGAATGACTCAAAGTAGTACAGATCAGTAAGAACTGTCCTCCTTAAGCGCAGACAGTTTGCTGCTTTCACAATGATGCTCTAAAAAACAGATGGACAGGCGCTTCACACTCAGCACGGGGGTTATCACTGGACATTCGCCACAACACCTCTACATGAAGCTTTGCAAAAGAACATAATAAGAAGCCTGGTGAACGTTGGGAGCATGTTCCTTGGTCTGATTAGATCAGTATAAATTAGTTGGGCTCTGATGGCATCCAGTAATGTTTTTTCAGAGACTGTGGAAGATATAGACTTACTCATTCATGATGTTCTTAATGAATTGTACAACATCTTTCATCTTGCTTTCTTTGTCTTTAGCCAGACTTGGTGCAGACAGGCAGAAGGTCAGAAGTGCAATGATCCACCACACGTTAGCCATCTGCGGGCAAAGTTAAAAAACAACAACAACAAAACAGAATATCTTATTATCACGAACACCCTTCATTTTTGTTTGTTTTGTTCATTTTGTTCATTTTGTCTCACTGTCTAACTTGTAATGATAAATGTATTAGTGAAACGTTTTAGTGCTGACCTGTTTGCTGTAAAGTCTGTTTTGTTTTTTTATTTTGCTGTAAAGTCCAGAAATGATCATGTATCGATTTTTCAATTTGCAGACTAGTTCACAGAATACTTCTAAGACTGGGCCCAGACTGTGACTGTGGAAGCTTTTGAAGCATTTCTCTCCCAGCTTACCCACACTGTGTAAATATGTTTACCTCCCAGGGGTATGTGGAGTTTGTTCATTGATGGTGGAGTCAGTGCCACTCCTTTTTTAAGATGGTCTCTGACTTTACACCAAACTATTTGCCTGGTGAAGGTTTAGCACCAAAACGTTGCATTAATGCATTTATCACTGTAAGTTAGAGAGTGTGCAGGAGTGTGTTTGTCCCTGTTGGATGTGTTTGTCCCTCTCTTATGCACCTGCCTCATGTAATAGATGTGCAAAGCATTTCTTTGGGTTTATGACTGTTAGTATTATTTATTCTGACACCTGATCAAATGAACCACTGCGTGAGCTGAATGGATGACAGAGGACTGTGGGAGCCTGTAAAGATGATCAAACTTTTGTGATGCTCCATAAATATGATGCCTCCATGTGTTTGTTAGCTTATGGCTGGTTGTCAGCTAGCCAGCTGTTAATACTAGCTACGTGAATGTATTAGGTAACTGGCAGTTGTTGTAGATGGCTGTTGTTAAAGGTACAAGTAGTCTACTTCCTGTGGCATTATGGCAAACAGCTGCCACTTAGCGACCTGAGTAGGGCTGCCCCCATACAGTAGACTAACATCTGACGAGTAAGCTAATCACATACAGATTTTATCTGGACTTAATACGCTTGAAATAACACATGACGTCCATTTAGGTTTCTTGCTAATTATAAAATACATCCAGTTTAAGTAGAATGTTGTGATTGCCCACCTTCATTGTTGTTTTCGACACAGTCAGTTTATCGCCAGAGCACTGGAACAAAATGATGCAAAGTATGAAACATTAACATCTCGTGAAAGTTCAAACTATTCACCAATAAATTCTTCCAAACTCTTTGTCTTTGGATGAGGATTGTTAAGGTAATCTAGGGGTGCAAGTTCACCCTGATGTTTATGTAAGTATCACTGCCCTTGTCATGTCATTTTAATGCTAAAATCCATATTCTTCAAAGAGTATCTCACCTGCAGTGAAAGATGTCCGACGGAGATTGAGGAGATGTTCTCGTCTTCTTCTTTCCACTTGGTGTGTTCAGATTGTAGGTCCTGCAACAGTGAATGCGATCAGAGGGAAAGGACAATTTATAGAGAAGAATAGGACCGCCGTTGCCCCGTGACCTTAACTTGACATTCAGCCAGACAACGTAAAGATGTTACCGGTGAAATGCAAATGTGCTACAACGGTACCGCAGCAGCTCTTCATTCATTTTCATTTTATTCACTGATAGCTTCAACTGGCAATATAGGATGGTTTGTATGATACGGTAAGAGACAGGCTTTGCCACACAGTCACACCATTGAAAAGTTATCAAAGTATACAACATAGGAAGAAAGAGATACCTTCTGTGTAGCACTGGAAGAAAAGCATAGAGGTGATAAGTAGTCAAATGAATAGTGCCAGGACAAGGTTAGGCTTCCACATTCAAAGATTAGGCTTCCACATTCAAATGCTATTGTGAGATTACAGGGAGAAGAGAACTAGCTCCATCCATATGTGGTATTTTTGAGATGAGACTCTGAGGTAGTTAAGAACATTCTCCACTCATTTGGATACAGTTGGAAGCTACTATCAAACCTCAAAAACTCAGGCAAGATCAGGGTGATCTAGACCAAGCGAAAAACAAACTGACCATGTCTGATCATATAATTATTTAGGGTAGAGACGTTTCACCTCTCATCCAAGAGGCTTCATCAGTTCTGACTGACTAGTTGGGAGATCCAGATACTTATATCCTAAAGGGGTTCGTTAGGGTCTTCGTTAAGAGTCTTTTGTGGCTATAGGTGTGAATGTAGTTTTTGAAGATCTCTCTCCAGGAAGATGAAACTACATTCGCACCTTGCCACAAAACACCCAAACAACGAACTCCTTTGTGGCAGGCGGAGTACTAACAACTCACATAACGAGGCGAGGAGCAACAAACGCACAAATGAACCTAAAACTCAGGTATTAATGGCGCCTTTAGGATATAAGTATCTGGAACTCCCAACTCGTCAGTCAGACCTGATGAAGCCTCTTGGATGAGAGGTGAAATGTCTTCAAGGAACTCAAGCAAGTCCAGTTGATACGATTAATCTACCAGAACAATTAGAGCCAAAAGAAAAAAAAAAAAATAACAATGAGAAAATATGGGGGAAAAAATCCTACAATTCAACAATTTCATTTATCAGACGCTTTTATCCAAAGTGACGTAAATTTGAGAGCAGATACAACACAGGATCTAGTCAGGAGAAAATAATGTAAGTGCCATAGAACAAGTTCAAGTGTGACAGGGCGTTGATGCCAACAGCAGGCTGTGTGGGAGGCAATAGGATTTGTTTTTGTTTGTTTGTTTTCAGTCTGTCAAGTACAAAGGTGTTCAGTGAGGAGCTGGATCTTTAGTCTTTTCTTAAAGACTGAGAAGGAATCAGCAGATTGAACAGAGTTTGGTAACTTGTTCCACCAGCACAGAACCACAGAGGAGCAGAGTCTAGCTATTGACCTTGGCCCTGTTGTGGTGGTTGTATCAGGCGGTTTTTGTTGGTCGAGCATAGTGAGAGGGAGGGAGTGTAGATCTGAATGACAGAGTTCAGGTAGGAGGGAGCTGTTCTCGTTGTAGTTTTGTAAGCAAGTGTTAGAGTTTTGAGTTTGGTGAGGGCAGCAACTGGAAGCCAGTGAAGCGATCTGAACAGTGAAATGTGCTGTTTTTGGCTGGTTGAAAACCAGACGTGCTGCTGCATTCTGGATCATCTGCAGAGGTTTGACCTTGGATGCGGGGAGGCCTGCCAGTAAGGAGTTGCAGTCGTAGATATTATGAGAGCCTGTACCAGGAGTTGTGCTGCATGTTCAGACAGGAAAGGTCTGATCTTCCTGATGTTGTAAATTCCAATGGTAATATCTTATTGCAAAATTTGCAATGTCTCTATCTGCTCAAATAAATTCAACTCCATTTTAAAAAGTAATAGTATACATTTCTAGAAGAATATCTGGATGTTAAACATTTGAATTGCATGTTGTGTAACTGGATGAATAACAGGTTGTTATGTTGCACAGGTGTCGAATCCTGGTCCTCGAGGGTCACAGTCCTGCATGTTTTAGATGTGCCCCTCTTCCAACACACCTGATTCAAATGATCAGGATCGTGATCAGGCTTCTGCAGAGCTTGATGATGAGCTGATCATTTGAATCAGGTCTGTTGGAAGAGGACAACATCTAAAACATGCAGGATTGCGGCCCTCGAGGACCAAGATTCAACACCCCTGTTATATTGGCTGCAGTTTACCCTTGATTTTTAAAAAATCAAATCATATCAAATGACAGCCATTTTCAAACCATAAAATGTATAAATTTGGGACAAATGTGAACATTAATACCATATGATTTCAATTACAGCTCAAAAACCAAGTTTAAACAGGCATTGGCTTTTTAACATTAAGTAGTCCTAAATCTAGTTAAATAAGATTTTATAAAACATGGACATACATGTTCTATAAACAGCCCTGCGATGGACTGGCGACCTGTCCAGGGTGTCCCCTGCCTTCGCCCTAAGTCAGCTGGGATCGACTCCAGGCTCTTTTTTTCTCTTGGTCTTCATTAAAAATGAACAATAATCACTGACTGATTTATTGTGATACATTCTATTTTTTATTTTTTTTTTTGCTATATCATCCAGTTTTAGTAGTGCCATGAAGTAAATAGTGAAACGTCCAATTAAATACTGCAGTTCTGTTTGACCTGAAGAGTTCAAACGGTGCAACAAGCAAAGCTACTGTCCACAGATCGGAATGATGCTGAGCCAAGCTTTAATCACAACACAAGACATTTGAAAATGCTTTGCAAAAGAACAGTGTCATATGTATGGTAAATACAGAGGATAATTTATATTACGTTTCTTTTTATATTTAGTGATTTAACAAAGGTAGTTTAATATAAGTGACCTGAATTAAACCTTAACTTTTGCAAATGTGCCCATTTTTTGGGACCAGCTGTTTCCACTGTGTCCTATTCAAAGGGATCCATGCAGCATTTCTACATCATCTGTACTTTGCTTGGGTTATTATGTGTAATGTGCAATTACTTTAATCCTTCCAGGTCATTTGAGTCGCCTTGAAAATAATTAGACTTTAACAGAGATTATTCAATTAGTGGATATGCTCAGGAATTAACAAGTACTTTTAGAGTACATTTTAAGCATAAGGATTTTTTTTTTCTTTTATGTTGGTCGCCGTTGGTTCATTTGACTACCGTGTATGTAATCTCAGGTTCTAACGGCTCTACAGGAACATGAACTGATACCTTGACAGAGACTGAGTTTAATGGGTCCACACAGCTGAAACTAATGCAATCTGATACAATTGTCTGGCGTTAAATCGTCCCTTCTCAAAGGCTGTAATTTGCTGGTGTTTATGTTACTTTGTTTACCCCATTTAAATCAGTGTAGACACAAATGTCTTTCAACTATACAATTCGACAGCATCACAAATTGCACTCTTCATTTCTGTCTTTGTTTGTTGTTCCAAAATCTTTCTCATTAAATCAAATTTTACATGTGAATCTTCTTATAATGTGGTATTCATAATTTTACTTAAAAGTGCCTTCTGAAGTTTTCTTGTGAAATAGCAAAAGGTTCCTCTTCATACAACGTTTGAAAAGTTCCCCAACTTCCCCTGCTGATCATTGGAACTGGCAGGACCATTGCGAGTAGTGTGTATATCTTCTAGATTATGTTTCCCATGTGTTTATTTGACGTTAGTTGTTATGTGTTGCCTTGTTTAATGCCAATCCATGGCAGCATGTTATAAAGTTCATTTACGATCAAAAACATGACTCACACCAAGTCCAAGTTCAAATGAGATATGAAGTAACTTTAGCATCAGATTGCTCAAATGCCAGTTTGCCAACTCTCAAAGGAGAGGAAACAAGCAAACTCATGCAACCAGGGTTGGAAACCTTCTACCAAAAGGACGCTCAAAAGAATCCCTTGACTTTTGATCTACAACTGCACAGCAAGAAAAACCTGCTGAAGGTGATTCATCCGCAGGGTTTGTCTGCCTGTTACCCTCCTGCCATAATCCCAACTCATCTGACATCCATCCCTCTGTCCAAACTGTGATAGTGCTCTCAGGTACAAATCACTTCAAGTCCTGGTAATCCCCAAAGCTGTGCTATTAAATACACTCTCTGTCCTCCACTGTGGAGAGCCTGATGAGGAGCTGCATCCTGTCTGGTCCTACTCCTGCCATATCTAGTACTGCCTAAAAAGAAATCAAAATCAAAATAAAACAACAGTAGGATGGAATATTTTTGGACTTGTGTGGGAGTAATAAGAAAACTCACTCAGTTATTTATATAATAATTCGCAATCGAAATGATTGAATCTGTGATATTTATGTACAATGTATAACCAGTGTTGATTTTAAAGTTATTTAAAATACAACTCAAATTTAAAATAGGGTTCGTGTTTCTTTAAGAGTAACTGTAAATATTCGTATCGCTTCCGGGTCCTGCTGCATTCAAGTGTTTCTGTCAGAATTTGGAAAAGAGAAGAGTTTAAAAAAAAAAAAAAAAAAAAAACCTCCATGTTTGCTGTAGTGTTCACAGGGGATTAGCCACAGTGATAATACCATGTTAAGATTAACTGCTTAAAATAGTTTAGCAATTTTCTTTGTGTTACGCACTTGTACTGAGGTGAACCACTTACAAATCGTGCATAGCACATTTAAAATCAACCAAAACTTCCATTTGCATTATTATTGCGTTTTTTTAAAAAAAAAACTGTTACAGGGAGCAATTTTGCAACCAAAATGTTGATAACACATATGTAATTCTTCTCACAAAGCAGAAGTAGTCGTCGCTGTCAGAACTTAACCATGTATGTTATGTGTACGGTTTAAACCATGCGACCTGAACGCGGCACGAAAGGTCACCAGCTGTGGCTAACGATTAGCTTCTGTCAACTTGTCCATTCTTGCTCTCTGAAAGCCGCAGATACATGCAAGTATACGTTTCCTCCTACTGTTTTAAAATACTAATATGGGATATATGCTGTCAAAATTGGCGCAAGTGCAGTTTTGTGTGAGAAAGCGCACTGAGGTGTTAGGAGTTTGATAGAAATGTTAGCTAAGTTAATATAGCTAACGCCAGCTAGCATTGATGTTTTTGTTTACTAGCTAGTTTTAGGACTGCACCTGTTACTTGACAAGCTAGAAGTCCTGCACCTAAACTAAAAGTGATGCAAATAACTGCTGCAGGCTGTTGCTAAAAGTCACTCACACTGTCATAGCAACAGTGTGCTAGAATAGCCAGGTTTCTTTAGTTAGAATAAACAAACTTGAACTGTTTCCAGTTCTAATTGCAGCTGAGTGTGGATTTCTTGGCGCATGGTCAGGGACCGGTGTTTGCCAAAAACTGATTGCAGTGACCCTTATGTCTCTGTTTTATTTTACTTGCTTTGTGGGCTAAATTGTAAGACATCTAGTTGGTTTAATGAGGATCAGTTCAATTCATACTATGCAGTTTTCCAAAAAGTGGATGTAGCCCCAACATTTAAATACTATTAATGCATCAAAATGACTTAATATTACTTAATGACATCTCATTCATGAGGGTTATATTTTAAAGATTGTGGTACAATGGATAATTGCAACAACAACAACAAAAAATTCTTCACTTTATATATAAAATCCATCTGTAAATCATGTTGATTATAGCTATAACGAATATTAGACATAACAAACACAGACAGTCTAAACCAGAAACACTACTAGAATATATTGCGTATAGTTTAGAGCCACAAGAAACTGTTTCAGATGGTTGTTTGGTCTTTTAAAATGGTAAAAAAAAAAATGTTAATCAGTGTTTCCCAAAGCCCAAGATGACGTCCACTGATGTCTTATTCTGTGCATGACATCAAAGATATTCAGTTGACGTCAGACTTTTTTCTTCTTTAAAGATTTTATTTATTAGTTGTCAACTAATCAATCAAGTTTTCAATCAATTTTAACTGTCATGCCTGATTATGCTACAAACTAAACAATATCAGTCAAAATTAGTCACTTATCATAAAGTTTCACTAAGACAAACCAGCTTACGACTGATCCAAATAAAGTAGCTGTAGATGTAAATATTGTTTTTTGTGGCATGATCCCAGTCCCCACCACTCATCCCACTTCTCTTTTCCTACAGGATGGCTTCATTTGGATGGAAGAGGAAAGCTGGTGAAAAGGTGTCAAAGTCAGCGGTGAAGCAGTTTGAGGCCGAGGCAGAGAAGCCTGAGGATAAAGGACCGAGTCAGGATGAGGACGTGGACTGGCTGCACGCTATCAAACGACGGCGGGAGATCCTGCTGGAGGACTGCGCTGCAAAAAGCAAGAGGCTGAAGGAGGAGGGCGCACTGCTGGCTGAGAATGGCAGGTGAGGGTGCTGCCTGCCTGCACGCTATGTCACTGACAGATTGTTAGATAGAGTTGAGACCAGAAGTTTACATGCACTGTTTAAAAAGACTTAAAACCTTTTTTTTTCTTACAATCTGACATTAAATCAGACTAAACTTTTCCTGTTTTAGGTCAGTTAGGATTACCAAAATTATTTAGATTTTCTAAATGCCAGAATTCTGAGATTACAATTTTTTGGAGAATATTTAGAGAACAGAATAATGGAAAATTCTCTTTAAAAAATTCTCTTTCTCATTATTCTGGCGTTTAGTAAATTGAAAAAAATGTGGTAATCCTAACTGACCTGAAACTAGAAAAGTTTAGTCACATTTAATGTCAGATCGTGAGAAAAAAAATGTGTCTTTTTATACAGTGTTAACTTCTGGTTCCACATCCATTATGGGGTCTGATTTGTAACATATTTGTTAAGTTGCTAAAAGCGGACATAATATTTCAGCATAGTTTTTGTTTGGAATCGATTCAGGATTTTGCTGTAACTCAGGCACCAGAAATCCAGTATTTGCTCAGGTGTTTCCTTAACAAAAACAACCAGCGGGGAACAACAAAAGCTTTATACCAAAGCCATTTCCTTTGAAAGGCGTTTTCCATCCTGTATGCCTGCTTTATAGCAGGTAGGATTACAAGTTGAATCTCATATTTTTACTCTGACGCTAAGGGCTTCTTGTCTGTGTACTGCTTGATTGTTAAAGGGGATTCATAGATCAAATAGCAGAGGCTAAGTCCAACCATTGATGGACACTGAAGCATGCTGTGCAGAGAAAGTTATTAGCATAGCTAGAGAAACGTCAACAGCTTTCTCTCCTCTTTTTGTCAGTTCCAGCTTTTATTTAAAATCATATTTCCTTAGAGAATTTAGAGAGATTAGCTCAGCTTTGCTAATAACAAAGATATGTTTCATTAAAAACTCTCCAGAGGAGGGCGCCATTGTACAGAGCATGCAGACAGATTCATTTCACACAGGTAGTAGATTACTCCTGGGTTGCCAGTTAAGCCAGACATTCTATTGATCTTGATTTTCAATGACAGATAACTTAGAAACATCTCAGCTTGAGATCTTTTACAGGACTTTTCTGTAAAAGTCAAGCAACATTCATATGGTCTTATAGACGTGTTGAAGTTTAAAAGTCAAAGAACTCCTGCTGTTCTTCAGATGAGGTCAGTTAAATTAAAAAAAAGAAAAAAAGAAAATATGTCTTATTATGGCTATGGTGAAAGATGCTATCTATATTTAATATTTGAGGGCACATTTTTAAAAAGTGGGACAATCTTGTGACAACTTTCCAAATAGAAAATGAGTTTAAAATTTTTTTTAAACTATACCAAAATCAAAAATCTGCTCAACAGTCTTCCCTAAAGCAAACTCTTGTGCTGATGCAGTTTTTCAGCTGAATTATGCTGAATAATGATGAGCAATATTATTACTTTAAGTGATATTTGTCTGCTTTTGAATTTGAAATAAGCATCCAGCACTTTGTGTCAGATGAGCAGAAAATGTACGATGCAGCCTGCACATGAAGCAGCCTCCTTTAGGGACTATTATCTTGTATTCCTTTCATGATAATTGACCTTTTTAGTCAAATAATAATCACTTTGTGAAAACCCCCCCCGGTCCATAAGATGTAATGTTGTTGCCTGTAGTGACTGCTTGTAATTATATTTACGAGAAGAAAGTGGATTTTGCCTGGGAAATGATGCCCTGCTGCTCTGTAATGGCTGTCCAGAGGTTTGTCTGGTCACAGAGTTCTTTTTTTCTGCTCTAACAACGTTGACCTCTGAAGTCACTCTGACGTAACAAAGGTTTAGATGCTTCTGATGTAATTGAGCAGCTCCTTTATTACCTGGTTGCGATCGGAATCTCGCCTTAAATCACATTAGGTGCAGGTTGGAAGGTTTTTGAGGGTTGCAGTCTTATGTAACGTCCATATACCTTTCCACCTGTAAGTCAAAATATAGTTCATGTACATTTGTATACAGTTGAAAGCAGAAGTTTACATACACTGTATAAAAGACATCTAGACTTTTTTTTGCGAACTATCTGACATTAAATCAGACTAAACCTTTCCTGTTTTAGGTCAGTTAGGATTGCCAAAATTAATTCTATTTGCTAAACACCAGGATAATGAGAGAGAGGATTTTTTTAGAGATTTTTTTATTACTTTCTTTGAAGTCAACAGTTTACATACATTTCCTTAGCATTTGGTAGCGTTGCCTTTAAACTGTATGACTTGGGTCAAATGTTTTGGTTTTCCTTCCACAAGCTTCTCACGATCCTTTGCTAGAACTCTGACCCATTCCTCCAACAGAACTGGTGTAACTGAGTCAGGTTTGTTGGCCGTCTTGCTCCACACACCTTTTCAACTCTGTCCACAAATCTTCTGCAGGATTTAGATTAGGTTTGTGATGGCCACTCCACAACATTGACTTTGTTGTCCTTAAGCCACTTTGTAGCTAATTTGGTGGTATGTTTAGGGTCATTGTCCATTTAGAAGACTCATTTGCGCCCAAGCTTTAACTTCCTGGCTGATGTCTTGAGATGTTGCTTCAATATTTCCACATAATCTTCTTTCCTCATGATGCCATCTATTTTGTGAAGTGCACCAGTCACTCCTGCAACTAAACACCCCCACAACATGATGCTGCCACCTCCGTACTTCACAGTTGGGATGGTGTTCTCAGGCTTGCAAGCTTCCCCCTTTTCCTCCAAATGTAACAATGGTCATTATGGCCAAACAGTTCAGTTTTAGTTTCATCAGACCACAGGACATGTTTTCTATGTTGCTTTTGGACTAATGTCTTCTTCCTCTCTGAGTAGCCTTTCAGCCCATGTCGGTACAGGACTGGTTTCACTGTGGATGATGACACTCTCTTACCAGCTTCAGCAGCATCTTCACAAAGTCTGTTGCTTTTGTTTTGTGGTTGATACACACATTTTACACCAAAACACTTCATCTCTGGGACACAGAACCAATCTCCCTCCTGAGCGGTATGATGACTGGACATTCCCATGGTGTTTATACTTGAGTATAATTGTTTGAACCTGTGGAGGTCCACAATTCTCTTCCTGACAGCTTGGCTGATTTCTTTAGATTTTCCCACGTTGTCACAAAAAGAAGCAGTGTGTTTGAGGTGTGACTTAAAATACATCCACAGGTGTGCCTCCAATTAACTCATATGTTGTTAATTAACCAATCAAAAGCTTCCAAAGCCATGACATCATCATCTGGGCTTTCCAAGATAGTTTGAAGGCATAGTAATCTTAGCATATGTAAACTTCTGACTTTGAAGAAGGTTATAACAAACTTTCTCTCTCATTATTCTGGCATTTAGCAAATAGAAATGATGTTGGTAATCCTAACTGACCTAAAACAGGAAAAATTTAGTCTGATTTAATGTCAGACAGTTCAATTTTTGAGGTTTTGCAAACTACAGTCAATGTAAAGCTACATTCAACAGTTTAAAGTCATCACCTGACTTGAGATTTTGCTTCTTGTTTTCTAAACTTTCCACAGTAGTCTTCATACACACCACAATGTTTTTGCTTGGTAGAGTAGAATATTTATAAGAATATCAGACTGCACTGTCATTGTTCTATTGTTCTAAATGCATGAATGGGCTCATGACACATTTCTTTATAAACAGCAGAGATGAAACAGATCCCATTGTCTCACTGACGACAGGTTCAGCAGTTGTTGAACCTTAAATTTGATTGGAAGGTCTCACCTCTGCACCGCCACCAACATGAAGCCTTCCAGTCTAAAAAAAGAAAATATTGTAGATGTCTTAGAAGAAATGTTCAACATTTCTCATGTATTCAGGTGAAAAATGTCAATGTTCTTGTAGAATTCCATCTTATTTTATCTCTTTGACAGCTGTGTAGTTTTTTGGGAGGTGTGGGAGTTCTGCTAGGGAGCAAGTCACATCACTACTCTGCATAGTTTACTGATTATTTTGTTTTTGGCGCGCAGCTGCCATGCTGATTCAGCTTTTTCGAACTTACTTTGCAAGATGTAATCTGGCATTTGAAATGTTGAAGATCTTTTGTGCTGTACTTTAGCCAGTTTACTGGTGTAGTTATGTTGTAATAATAATGTGTTAGTTTTATGTTGCGTTAAAATGTCCAGATTCTTACCAAAACACCGAAAATATTCAAATCTGTTTACTCTCTCTCGAGACTGTGCGCCTACACCATTCAAATGATTGCATCTGCTGGTTGTTCCTCTCTCCCTCTACCCTCTCTTTGACTGATGAACAGAGTTATGGTGTCAGTAGAGGACTCACTTTTAGCTCTCCAGCTTCATGTGATGTATTGCTTATTGCTTCATTTCCTCATATGATTTTGCAGTGTCCTTTGCTTCATGTGATGGGGAGATTTCCACACTGCTCTAGTTCCATTTCCTCAGTCCCCTGTGTGCCTGTTAAATAGCAGTGGCATGTTTTATGACTGCAATCCCAACTCTCGGTTTTACAACTGATCAGCGTTAATGCTCCCATTGTGCGGTTGTAATTGCTTTTGAATTTTTTAGGATATCCGTCTCCATAAAGCGATAAAAAGGTGTAGACATGACAGATATACCGTCAAACCCAGGATTTGATCTCATAGTCTTTGTCTTGATCAGGAAACCGGCCTTGAGTCAATATTGACTTGACGAGAACAGGAACGTATTCATGTCAATTTAGACCAGTAAAAAAAAAATGAATATCTGCTGCTCGTAAAACTAAACAACAGTGACTCCTGGGAGACAAATTTATGCAAAACAGTAAAGTGCAGTGGCGACAGCTGCTTGGAGTGAGGCTGCGGTGAAGGTTGATGTGACTTCTGCCCAAATTTATGCAAATCCTGTTTATGGTGTTCTTAGGGCTGCAACATTCTGGATTTTTGCCGATATCCAATGTGTTGATACTTTCCGACTCATTTTGGCCCATTTCTGATGCCAATACATGCACATATTTTTCCAACTAATTGCGGGGAACATTGGATTTCTACTGTGGTGGAAATAACTTATTAATATGATAGTTTTGGGTTTTTTTGTGATGACACCACTGGCAGGTGCAGATGCTTTTCAAATATACATGTTTGGTAGGAGTTCATAATCTGGTTCACAACCTAGCCTTCCTCCTTCACTCATGCTGCTAAACACACCCTCATCACAATGACAATACTCCCGATTCTGGATTATGGCGACATTATTTACAAAATAGCCCCAAGCACCGAGCTCAAAAAACTGGACACTCTTTATCACTCAGCCATCCGCTTTGCCGCTAATGCACCCTTCCACACTCACCCCTGCGACTTCTATAAATTGGTGAGGTAACCTTCCCTTCATACTCGGCGGCTTCACCACTGGTTTCATTTCATTTACAAATCAATTCTGGCCAAGACACCTCCCAACCTGTCCTCTCTTCTTCAAGTCGCCCATAATTCTTATCATACTAGGTCTAATGAACACATCAAGCTCATCATCCCTAATACTTCTACTATTTTTGGCTGTAACACCTTTTGCTTTGCAGCTAATGACTGGAACACCTTACAAAACAATGTCAAACTCTGACTCCGCTGACCACCTTCAAGCTTAAAATCCAACAGACTGTAGTTGACTGTTGCTCCTGCTGATCACACCAGACTTTACTTACATACTTATATATACACACACACTTTCTTACACCTCATGCACATAGTTTTTCACTCACATGCATATGCCCCCATGCTTCTTACTTGTTTAATTTTGTTCTATGTTATGTTTATGTGTCTATAATTTACATGTGTATTTGTTCCTGCTGCCGCCTCTTGGCCAGGTCGTGCTCGCAAATGAGAACATTTTTACCTGGTAAAATAAAAATCAAGTAAAAAATAAATAAATAACAATGTTCATTTTGGGCCAATCCTGATGTGTCATTTTAAAGCCTTTAGCATCAGTGGTGATGCTAACATCATCATGCGTAGTTTTTCTCTGAGTGTCTGAAACCAGAGTTGTAGACTATTTCACTATCTCGCCAGCTCAGATAGGAAGAGTTTGACTCGTGACTTGTCTGTTCACTTTAGTGGACTGTGTTCATTTGAGCTGGTTCGTCCTTTGTGTAGTCATTGTGGTTGTCGTTCTGTCAGACAGGTCGACAGGTGTTTTGCGGTACGCTTGCGGCTTTATAGCTTCAGGAGATCCATGCAGCACATTGTTCTGGGAGCCATTTTTCCTCTTTCTGTTTACAAATCAGTAGAATAAAGAGCAATCCATTTCATTTTGAAATCTGAATTGTAGAAAAAAACAAGCCATAAATGCACAAAACCTACAGAAGGACAGGGGCTTTAGTAAATAACTGAAATACGACCCAGCCGTGTTTTATGTAAGTTTGTTTTTCTAATCGTTTGTGAAGTTTTATGCAAGAATGAAAAGAGCGGATCTAGACAGCTTTCCTGACAAACCAGTGGCGTCTCAATAGCAAGCATCAACAAAAATAATGATGAAAAATGGCTTTATAATACCCGCTGAACAAAGATGGGGCCGTGTTTCAGGTTACATAAGATACATCAGGGCGGAGGCAATGAAACCAAGTGTCCAATTTCGCTGCTTTGTTTATGATTTTAATTGGTTGTGCTTTATCTAAAGATCTGAACCTCAGTTAAAGTCAACTCGAAGCCATGTTTAACTTGATGTAGTGCTCCATGTCTGTGTAGGGCGTTAATAGTAGATTTAACCACCAAATATTTCTGTTCTATGAATAATTTAGATGCATGGCTGTTAAGTCGTGTATCACACTGCACAGCTTTCTCAGTATACATAGTAACCGTAGCAGCCAGGCTACGGTTAACTCCCTTTATGTGATGATTCCTTCAGTTTTCTCAGCTGGATTTCAACCACAGTGTTTGTTTTCTTTAGGCACTGGGAGGCCATTAAGAAGTGGGACGAGGCCATTCAGCTGACTCCAGACAACCCAGAGCTGTATGAGATGAAGTCTCAGGTATATCATAGATTATATTATTTCACTTGTTCTCTCACCACCACATTTGCGACTTTTGTTCTTTAAAAGATAGAGTCACATTTTTTTTTCAAGTCCCTCTTAAGTGTTGTATACGACATCCAGGACCACTAGATGGTGATCGATAGAGACCAAGTGAACGGGCAGGTCAGCCACATCTACCCTCTTCCATAATGTTTAATGTACAACCAGAAAAGCTGTGTGCTGCGGAGGCACCCCCAAAAAAAGTCAAGCCTCAACCATTAGCTCAGGATAGCATTGTAAAATACATTGAACAGCTGTAAAGTGTTGTTCCCATTTGAAAATCTTCACTTGACCTGCCTGCCCTCCACTCTGCTCCAGTTACTGTATGTCTGTTTCATCAGTCATACAAACACAGCAAAGCAAAGGAGAAGCAGAGCAGCAAGAACAGTAGTAGACTGAGATAAAACAAGACAGCAAAAACGTAGATAAAATACGTAGTTTATGAATTCTTTGTCTTTTTTGGGGGACTCAGCCTTATCGGCTGAACATTCCCTTGTCCAGTGTGGTGTGGGACGTCACTCTAGCCAGACCGGCTACCAAAACATGCTCAGATTACCACACACAAAGAAGGACTGTAGCTTTATTTTCTTCTAGGAACCCTGTTAGTCCACTATATCTGTAGATAGCAGATAGTTGTTTGCTGCTATATTTATATTCAGAATCTTCCATATTGCAGCTTTAAAAGAACATTCAGACAATTTAGCACTGAATTCTTATGACATCATCGGAGTGAAAATTAAAAGTTCTGTAAGAAAGATCAAATTTAACGGAGCAGCATCGCGTTCATGTTTTGTTCCTCCCTCACGAAATCAGGTTCCCACATAGCCCATAAAGTAATTCAAGCGCTGACAGGTCAGTTAGAGATTTGGGTGTGTTACGTTACTATTGACTAATACAGCCACTGGCCGCGAACTTCAGAGATGAGGCTCACACTCGTCTCATCAGTAGTGACCCAAAAGATCCTGTCTTAAGATGATTTTACTGTTAATTTCTGTTGAAGCTGCATCAAGAATAATTACATTAATTTCGATACAGGTGTCTGCTGTTTCCCAGTGTGGTTGGTGTGTGCCTAAATTGTAATACAGTCCAACCGCTGCCGGTAGAGACTAGAGGTGTAGTTTTACATTTGGGTGGGACGGTATCGTGGGTTTTGTGTTCAGGTCATATCAAGGAACGCTGAACCAGCATACAGTTACAGTCAACTTGTTATGTAACCAAACTGACCCATTTTTTGCTGCCACTTTGATATATTTTTAAGCCTGATTGGTGATACCGGTGCAGTTTTGACACCATGAAAGTCTGCAACATTTTCCTTTTACATGTTTTGACTTTTATCGCTGGTGTTTTGTTCCTCTCTCTTGAGCCTTTCGCTCTCGGTTCCCTTGGGTTGGTGTCTTTGTGTCTTTGAATAATTTTCGACCGCCATTCCTCAACTGCAACTTCTCCTTTTTTCTCGCATGAGTGTTTTTGAAAAAAATAGTTAAACTGGGGAAGTCAGAGGGCGTGGTCAGATGAATGGAGCCCTCCCGAGTATTTGTTATTCATTTACTCCAACTAACACAATAAAATCTGTCCTTGTTGCAGAAGTCATTCATGTCACATAGAGTATGCCTAATGTATTATCCATTATAGGATATTTGAGAAGGAAATCATTAGAGGATCAAGCCTGAGGAAACACCCAGGCAGAAGGTTGTTTCCTTGTCCTGATCTAAAGCATTGCATAATCACAGGCCGACTTCTTTCGCTTGGATTTAACTGCAGGGCATTTAACTACACAACTATACCATATCTCCTATTAGTGTCTATTACTGGTGTTTATGCTATTCACAATAATTAGACTGAAAATAGGCTGGTGCTCATCAAATTCCCATTAGTGGCCCAGATGACGGGGGTGGTTATTGGTCATTTACGTCCCTTCATCACTTTCTTCCTGTTTAATTCAATTAGTGTCGTGCCAAATATGTCCAGCGCCATGTCTGTGTGTAATTTTAGAAATTGGTTCAATTTGTAAAACAGTCACTGCATCTTCCTGGCTATAGGAATGATTTCAACCTATAGGGGGACCCTGCTAATAGTGACAAGTGTTTATAGTTTTACAGCCTCTTCAGCCATTTTGCTTTTCAGTGTTCTGACATTGTCGGTATTAGTTGCATCACTGGATGGGCCTGAGTATCAAGCCGGGGTATCACAGCAGTAATTAGGATGCCAGATATCCTGAGGCCAGACCTGTTTTGGGTACAATTTATGAATGTAATTCTATCATGCATGGGTGCTATTATTGCCTCTCAGTTTATTGTTGAAGTATTACTGAAAGGGAAAGAGGCACTGCTGTTTCACTCAATTTAACTTTGTGTTTTCTTTATAATGCACTTGTGTCTCCCAAGAATATAGATATAGACAGAATAGCAACAGTTATACTCAGAACAAAATGTGTTTCTTTTGCTTTTTCTCTAATAACTTGCAGAAATACACCTGTCAGCTCTGCCAATAGTTTGTGAGCCTACGGAAAGACTTTCACAGATTGGTATGCAAATACATGCGCGCTGGTACCAACTTGCAAAATTCAAGCGCATCGCCAGAAAACTTCATGCATTTGCTTAGTGTCTGAATCAACGATGATTTACAAAACTCTGCGAGGTTGAGGAGGTTAATGAGGTCAGTTGTGAGCACACATAGATGAACGAGTAAGTGAATTACAGCGAGAAGTCCTGTGACTGCCCTATTGTTCTGCTCCGTACTGCATGTTCTCCTGCTGTGTGAGTCACCTCTGTACGGCTGCAGGGATGCGACTATCAGTTGTTTACTTTGAAGATTAATGTGATGATTGATCAACAGCACAAAATCTAGAGATGTTCAAGTTGAAGTTTTAGAAAACTAAAAAAAATACAAAATTTGCATGGAGACAATTGTCCTTTTTTTTGCTTGAGAAATTACCCAAATTATTTAAGAGATCAAGTTTTGATCTCTAGTTGTGCTGCAGTGCATTTTTCGTTTCTGATGATGATGATGATGCACTTGGACTTCTGTAAAATCTGTAAGCATGCTCACTGTCTCCACAGGTGCTGACCATTCTGCAGGAAGTGTTCCCAGCTGTGAAAGCAGCAGAGATGGCCGTGAAGTTCCGCCCTTTGTGGTGGGAGGGCTGGCAGACTCTGGGTCGGGCACAGCTCAACCTGGGAGAGGTGGAACTGGTGAGTAAAGGCTGGCAATACTCTAAAAACAACAAATAAAAAAGCATAACGTGCATGCACACAAAGGATGTGAATCTGGTAGCGAGTGCAGGGCTGCAAACAAATGCAAGTAAAAGGAGGAATTTTGAAGTCACAATCCAAATGCATCGCTTGGTCGCAGTCATTTTGCTAACACACCAAAATTCTGGTTAGACATGTCGGCACAGTCTATACGTCGGTAGACTCCACCAGCATTCACTCAGTAGTGTTACATAACGATTGGCGGCTCCTTGCTCAATCATAATGATCCTCACTGGAATGATCCCATTTGTGTGTTTGATTTTGCAATAAACTTCGCCTGTTTATGTAGCTGCCTGCACATCACTTGTCTCAGTTTTTGAAAAGCCGTAAAGATGCATGAATTATTTCTGTTTACTACTTTTTTGCGAGCACTCTGCCTCTGAGACGAGGTCCCTCTTTCAATGCACACCCAGATGCCTGGGGCTCAGACGATTGCTTAAATTGCCCCAGAACACGCCGGGACCTGTGGGTGTTTAAAAGCCTCAGATCACAGTTACACTTTTTGCCCCTTTTGGAGCCAAACAAACAGGGCGGCACGCAGAAAGCCTTCAGCTAATGTCGCTCCTGCATGCCCTAAAGCGAGAGACCTGTCCTGCAGCACTGAAAACAACAATGGGAAGTGCTGAAAGCTACTTCACCTAAAACTAAACCAAATATAGTCACACCTCCTTGTATAATAAAGCTGTTGGGAAGGAAAGAAAAAAATGCACGTCTATTTTTAGCGAGGCTTGTTCAGTCGAGTTTTAAAGCTTTGTATGCACCAACATGTTTGAGTGTTGCCTGTTTGTGCAAATGTGAATGCAGTGATTCCCCATTTTTGCTTTCATAAATGTGTTCCTTCACTTCTGTAATTTCCATTCCACTCCGTCTCATTGGCGGAAAATGGAAAGCACCCAATTACAACAGCAGATAGCTCCTGATCTAGTTTTTTTTTTTTGCCGCTTCTCTTGATGTTTTTAAAAATATTGGACACGTCATGGCAGCTCTGTTGCCATTTATTATCTCATTGTTATCATTAAGTTTGTCGAGCCATGATTTCCCTGCAGAAGCTAATTAATTTGCCCGCAGTGGCATTTCTTAAGTTAAAGGATTACTTTCAAAATAAAGAGCTGCTGCTGCTGCTATAGTCTGTTCAAGACTGAACTTGATGTGTTGTTTTAGGCGCAGACAGATTCATTTGTCAGAAATCTATTACAGTTAGCCCGTCATAGTCTTTGACGGTGGAGGTTTTTTTTTTATGTAACAGATGGGGAATGTTAAACATAGAGTTGTAAGCAATGGGACTTTTCATGAGAAGATTAAGCTACAAAAAGGAGCATTCATCGTGTCTTTTCAAGAATTATATTTCCTTGAACAACTACCAGACATATTTTTATTTTCATGTTTTAACTATTAATGCTATAGCTATCCCTGTCTTTTAGTGCTCTCCACTGTGTTACACTGTTCTCTCAATACAGTCAGTCTCTACAGTGCAAACTTCAACACAGCAGGCTCAATGTTTTATCCCTCGTCTTGGGAAAGAGCAGTGTACAATTACATTCAGGTAGCAGCTTCTTCTTTTTTTGCTGCCGCTGACCGTCGCTTTCGCAAGCCACTTAAACTTGACTTGTGCAAGCTGTCTGTACTCCGCCAGAGTTTGTTTGAGAGGGAGAAAACTCTGCTGCTGTGCTGTGTTATCACAGGTGGATCTGTACAGTGTTTTGTAGTTTTAGCAAGTCCAGCAGACTAAAAAGTGAGACGTATGAGAGACAGATTTAGAAGGATTAGCCAAATCAATGCAGCAGAGGCCAAGATATCCTCAGTTTTAACCCTTAGTGTGAGGCATGTTTCAAAAGTGCAACTTTACAATTTGAAGTTGTTCCAGAGCTTTAGAAGTCATACCACTAGTTTTACTGGTTGATTTGTATTCTGCTGTAAATTTGGCCGACTTCCTCAGCTTTAGAATACGTGTGACAGGTTTCAGTCAGAATTGATTTCCGAGCTCATCAGTCGCCTCCAGTCGCTTGTAGGACTGGATTTATTTCACCAGTTCAAAGGCATCAAATGGTTGCATTTTAGGCCGCTTTTATTTCTGTTCAGTGGGACTGTAATTTTCAAACCTATGTGCAAGTGCACAGTCAGCGAAGAGATATTGATCTCTTCTTAATGAAACAATCAATCTGACCGCACTACAGCATGAAGAATGGCTCACTGACATGCTGATGATGCATCCACCTGCTCGTCAGTCGCTCTGATGGCAGCGTCATAAGAGAATTACAGTAAAGCCATAAACAGGCCTGAAACAGTTCAGGCTAACCATTCTTAAGCTCATGCCAATGCTGTCTCTGCAGGCTGTCAGGTCCTTCCAGATTGCCATCCACCTGTGCCCATCAGAGCGCACTCTGTGGCAGGAAGACCTGACTTGGGCCTGGAGGTTACAGAAGCAGCAATTAGCAACCAAGGAGAAGATTCGGCAAGAAGAGGAGACCAAAAAACAGATTCTTAATGCACCTGAACTCAACCAGGACTATGACTTTGAGTCGGACGAAGTGCTGGCCGCCTGCGTGGCCGTCGCTGAGCGGCAGACACGATACGAGGAGTTGAAGAGGACCGCCGTGGTCCTGGACGCTGAGGGGAATGTTAAAAACGTACTGGCTGGGGAAGAGGGATCAGAGGACACAGCGACGCCATCAACGGAACAGTTTGTCAAAGCAAGAGGACTTTGAACTGGTCTCAACTTATTGTCCTGGATCCATTTGTAAAATATGAATGTTGTTATTATTTATGAAACCACAGTGGTGTAACGATGTTGTGCTCTAGCTTCACACACTTAGAGGCAAAGATGAAAACTGATTCTCGTGAGCGTTTATACGTAACAAATCAAAAGACAATCGAGTTTTGTTCCTTTCCATTTTTCATCCCTTTTAATGTTAATCGTTGTAAATGTGCACGTTCATCCGTTCTGAGTCATGAGACTGGTTCCAGAAAGTCAAGAAAACAGAGTCATGCTTCAGTCAGTCAGAGTCTGTCGCTCACTCAGCACTCTTAGTCAGGATGCATCCAGATACGAATACAAAGCTTCAACAGCTTCTATTGCTGTTTCATCTCAATGTGGACGTATTCACATGAGTGTATTTTTTTGGAATAGCACTTTCAGACAGTAGCTCATGTACCGAATCAGATTTTTTGACGGCTTCTTGATGTGTGATTGTAAAAAGTAGACTCAGTTACATAAAAAAATATGTCTTAGAAAAATGAGAATTTGTGTTTGAGTGGGTGATGCGTGTAAAACGTTTGTGAAACATGTCGCTGAAAGAGAGCATGCACGCTCAGCAATTCGTCAACGAGTGAATAAACATGACTCAAAAGTTGTGATAGTTCTCTGGCTTTGCTGTTGTTGTCTTTCCTCAGAGACAGTTGACAGTGCAGTTGGATATTTTGCACTGTTTTGTGAAGGTGAGTTGCATCATTTTTCTTAAGAATTCTCAAACTCCAAATGTTCCTGTTAACTGTAACTGACGTTTAAGGGAGGAACCCACAACCACGTAGAGGTTCGTAGGTCCACTGTTCACCATTGTAGTTTAACATGTTAGCATGGTGATGTTTGGTAGTTACACTAAATACAAAGTACAGCTGAGGCTGATGGGAATTTATTTCAACTTGTATTTGGACATAAACCAAAGAACTGATAGCTCTCAAAAAAGTGAGTTGACATGATATAATTCATCTTCTGGGAACCATAAATGTGTCCTTTAAATTCTGTGTCATCCATCCAATAGCTATTGAGACATTTAGATTAAAGCCAAAACTAGATAAAAGTCAGGAGATCATTAAAGCTTATCCTCTGGGGACCACGAATGACTCCAGGGCAAGCCATCAAAGAATGTTTTGTCTGGACCAAACTGACATGCCTAAAAAGTGCCACTCAACTTTTATTTGAGAAGAAGTAATGCACTTTAACCCAAACAAAACAAATGCATACATACATGCAATAAAATCAGTCTGTGTTCGCAGTTGCACACGTGATCACTTTCCAGTTTTGTCTTGCTAAAGAATAATAAGTCCTAAAAAAACTTCACCTGAAATACATTTTTCAAAATACATTTCAACATGCACAACAACATTGGAGCACGAATACAAGTAAATAAAGCATTCCGGTTTATGAAATTACGAGCCACTCCAAACAGAAAAAGAATAGTTTCAAACACCCTCGACCTTGCTTTGATTTCCATGTAATGTGTTGCAGAGACAGAAGATTCATTTGTCGACCACAAAGTATACAACAAGACAAAGCACCGCCAACCACATGCTGCAGACTGCTGTGCTTCCTTTCTGATGCCTTTTTTAGCTACAGCAAGTCATTGTTTCTAATGATTGTCCACCATAAAACCTCAGAAAAGCCACAACAGTGAAAGCAAAAAACATCAACACTGTCATATATTGTAATAATCTTAAATTCCATTTGATAATCTGCAACATGTTAGTGGAAAACTAAAACAAATACGATGTCGATTAAGTTGTGTTACAACCCCTGAGAAATTAAGAAGTGGTTTTTAGGGCAGCATAAATATAGAAATAATTAAGTTTCTATAAAAGGGTTCACCGTTAGTCCCGAGATAATGCAGGGCCTGCATGAATAGCTCAGAAATGGATTTAATAATGCAGGAATCCAGGAGGAGTTCATTTGCAAAAACACATAGAAGCAATTCTCAGAATGATTAAAGCACAATGTTAATAGATGAAAATGCTAATGTTTACTTTTAAATAGATCAGCGTGGCAGACTAGACGAGAACAAACCTCTACAAATTGATCGAAGTTAAATATAAAACACGATTGCGTAAGATGTCACACCCTCGCCAGTGACACACCCACCTCACGGCTGGTGCAGCTGCTGTTTATAGAAGTTGCATAATATGATAGATGGAAGTCACCTGTGTTTAATCAGGGCGTGGCAAGTGATTTCTCTGTAAACACACATGTATCTGGACGGTCCGACCGCTTGTAAGTCTGTGTCTTGGTTGACACCGCATTGTGAAGTCAAACAAATTTCTGACATGTAGTGAAAACAAAAAGAAATGATCCATTTAATTACTTGTTGTTAATTGCTTGATTGTTGCTGCTCGACTAAATGTACTCCATCTGCTGAATGATGGCTCGACAGCATGAGATCATACACGCTTTAGCAACAAGTTAAAACTTTAGTTTCACCTTGAGTACAGCTGCTTTGAAGAGGCTAAATTCCACTGTGTAGCGTGTGTTCAGTGTTGACTTGCTCCAAATTGTCAGTTGAGTCATTTTTAGACATTCTAGCAGCGCATCTCCTGGGACGACACAGACGATCAATACATCGTCCAACAACTATTGGATGGATTGTCGTAAAACTTTGTACAGACACTGATCGTCCCCAGTGGACAAGTTCAACTGATCTTGTTGATCCCTTGACATTTTTTTTTTTTTACTTTTACTAAAATGTCTCAACAGCCATTGCCATGAGCTTTGGTATGGACATGGGAGAAAGAATTCTAAGTACTTTGCACTTGCACCAAACTTCAACATTATGGTTCCTACATTTGGTTCCTCTAGCTTTACCATGAGGCAACATTTTTTAACCCTATTCAGGACTTTTGGGGTCTTTTGGACCCCAGGCCATTTAGTTTAGGTGACAGGTATTGTTTTTTTTATTTTTGAAGATATTTTTTTATATATATAAAAAGAGAGACATTTGTCCTGCATTTGGAACCAAAAATACATCAACTTATCAGAAAATTTCTTTAACATAGTATAAAGTCTATAATGAATACCAACAAATATTTGGCACATATTCTTTCTTGAGGTCCAATGGATCCCGAAAGACCTTTTACATATGGCAACATGAAAGTCCTGAATAAGGTTAAAGAAAAAGCTGCTAGCATGGCTACAGACAAAAAGGTTCTGGTTGAACAATAAAAAAGTTATGTCATATGTCTTTTCTGAAACACTTCTTTGAACTCGGTGGAAGACATCATGAGATCCAGGACAGATGTGACAGAGAATTCAATGGGACATACAAAGAACAAGTTACTCTATGCTACACAATCATGTGATGCCAAAGGTTGTTGGCACAGGACTGCTTTGGATGGTGCATCGATTTAAATGTTGCTGCTGGAAGCTACTGTCAGATTTCATTCTCCTTTGCTTTTGTAAAGTATGGACCAATGTATCCTGTGCTAAAGGAGATAAGAAAGGAGGCATCTTTCCTTAACGTTTAAAGGATATGACCCATCTTGCCTGGTCATTTCGCTCAGTTAGGAACCTTCCTAAGCAAAAAAAAACACGAAACGATTCCATCTATAGCCTTGCCTCTAGCTGCACCAATCTGTGAAATGAATATATTTTGTGCAGCAATTAAGGATCTCCACTAGAATCTACCTGAAGTTTGTCAATCTAAAAAATGGTCTAACCCCTAATAAAAAAAGAAATAAGAATGCTGAACAAATGCAGTTGGCGAGGCATGTGAAGAGAAAAAGAAAAGAAAAGAAAAGAAAAAACGTAATGCAACAGAGCTTGGTAGATGTCCGTGTTAAGAAATGTGTTGATTGCATGACAAAAAGAGATAAAGAAGCACAGCTAAGTTTAGTGAGACGGAAAATGGAGCAGTGCATCGATCTTATCTTGTCTGGTGAAAAGTGCTATTTGTTGCATCTTTTAGTTTCTAGTAATGCAAGCCGTGACCTTAGCCTAGAATAAGAGTGACCAGTATTTTTTATCCTGGCACACCTTGACCCAGATGCTGTCGTGCAAACACTGGTATTATTTTTACACCGCTCATTTCCGGGATTTCCTCCATCGCTGTGCTAAAAGGCCACAGCTTCTGCACTTTTTTTTTTTTTCTTGCTTTTTTTGAGTGACATCCTCTAATAACCAGATGTTTTCACAGGCTCCTTATTGCTCGGGTTTAAATGTCAAAAACAGCCTGTCACACATGCTGTAGTGTAGCGCTGGCGTTGGCTGATGAGGTGGAGGAGAGAAGGGACAAGTTTCCAAGAAGAATCATTTCTCCTCTTTCTTTACCCTCCGCTAAACTCCTGTCACGACTGTTTTGTCAATCACCATTTCCTGTTCTCCCAGGAGATTCTACAGCTTTGGCAGATTTCTCAGTCTGAGGTCACTGCGCTCTTTTAGTGGGTTATTGTTCTCAGAGGGACGTTTCACTGCTCTGGGAAGGCTCTGGACGGGAGCCACGTCGGAGCTGGAAGTCTTCAGGGGGGCGAAGAAACCATGTGTCTGCAGGTGAGCGGTGCCGTGCCATCTGATCTGGACATTGGTTGGAAGTGTGGTTTAGCCATTACCGGTGTTGCAGAAAGAGATTAAAGAGATAACATGCTTTGTAAATGGCACCGTCAGTGACATGCTGGCAGATGAGGATGTTGTTGCAGAGCGTTCGGCTCGGATGTGCTTGAACTTTCTCTACTGTTTTCATGACAAGCTCTGCGGCGTTTCTTTTTACAACAGGCTTAATTGTTTTGACTGAGAAAGCAGTGATCAGTATTGAACTGAAGTCATTCTATTCTGGTCTGATCAATATCTAATTTTCAACAAAGATTCAGAGAGACGCTCGCTCGTAGATCTTTCCTTCTGCATATTGTATTTCCTATTAATATCCTTTACCAACACAAGGTTTGGAATACATCATTAACTACAATATTAAATCTTGTATTTCATGAAAAAAAAAAGTGACAACTGCTTAATTCATATGAATATTCATCATTTATTTTCAGTTTATGAGTTTGGTACAAGTCCACAAGAGAGTCAACATGTTTTGGTAAATTTGGCTTAAATTGAACATGTTTTGATATAATCTTTATAGCAGCACTATATCAACGCCATGTTAAAACAGGAAACATCAGGTTTTTTTGAAAAGAAAAAAAAAAAAGCCCATGAAGGTAGGAGACAGGACACTTAATGTCTTCAGTTTTCATTCCCCATCTTAACTCCCCTATAAAGTCTGATTAGATGGGAAGCTTTATACATTACATTAAGCTGAAATAAGATGAGGCTGGATTGATTCTTGCAAACTAATGGGCTGAACGGAGTAAATGAACAATTTTACATTAACAAATGACTTTAAGAGGCCTCCTAACGTCCTCCAGTGTCTGCACTGTGGAAAAGCCACAGTATAGCTGCCTTTGGTTATGAAATGCAAGGGATAGTTGGAATCCAGCTTTGATGTTCGAGCTGCTCTGTGGACCAAATTACTTGCAAATGTCCTTACATACCAGAAGAAAAAAAACAAAAAACAACAACACTATGAACATATTCATCTTGTACCGATTTAAAATGGCTCCAAACTATCTGGACCTTCTCACAGAGAAGACAATAACGTACAATTTCATACTTCAA